TTCTTTTCCTTCCTTGTTTCTTGCTTTATTTCTTTTCCTTTGTTCTTTTCCTTTTTTCTTTCTTTCCATCTTTCTTTTCTTTCCTTCCTTTCTTGCTTTATTTCTTTCTTTTCCTTTTCCTTCCTTCTTTTTTCCCTTTCTTTTCCTTCTTTCTGTCTTTCTTGCTTTCTTTCCCTTTCTTGCTTTTCCTTCCTTCCTTCCTTCCTTCCTTCCTTCCTTCCTTCCTTCCTTCCTTCCTTCCTTCCTTCCTTCCTTACTTCCTCCCTCCCTTCCTCCCTTCCTTCCTTCCTTCCTTCCTTCCTTCCTTCCTTCCTTCCTTCCTTCCTTCCTTCCTTCCCCAATTGTGCATGTACATGTACAGAATTTCTCAATTCTAGCAGCTTGGAGATGGGTGGACTTCCACTTCCTGAACTGAAGGTGGAATTCTGGGAGTTGAAGTCCACCCGCCTAGCCATACCCGGAGGGACTACCTGCGTTTTCAAGCTCTGCTCCTAAAGTTGACCGTTGGCCAGGGGGAAGCTTTGCTGCCCCCTTGTGGAGCAAGTTATCACCAAAATCCTTCCTTCACTGAAATCTGTTTGCAAGAATAATAGAATCACACGGTTGAATTTGTGATCGGCCCAAAGTCATCCAGCTGGGTTTCGTGCCTAAGGTGGGGCTAGAACTTAACACTCTCCAACATAATTTTATTAAAATGTATTTATAAACTTATAACTTATTTAAAACAATGGATGACTTACCATCCACCCTAGTTTTTGGCGTCTCAGGATTGCAGAATTGGCAACTCGGTGTCCTCTCTGAGGTTTTGTGTTCATGCCTTTGGAAGCTGTTTGACTGCTGCCACAAAAGCTTTGCTGGCTGGAGAATTCTGGGAGTTGAAATCCACAAGTCTTAAAGCGTCCAAGTTTGGGGAGCCCTGCGTTAAATGTTTGTCTGTCGTGGTTAGCAGAAATGTAAACAGCTGAGTGATTTATATTTGCTCTGTTGTTCTTCCAGGCGCTTCCAGCATGTCCGATCCAAGCTACCTGTGAAGCCGCCTCTAAAGAAGAAAACAAGGAGAAGAACAGATACGTCAACATTTTGCCTTGTACGTATTGACATTCCCTGGTTCCTGCCCACTGTGGGTGCCATTGTAAAAACATACATAGAATAACAGAGTTGGAAGGGACCTTGGAGGTCATCTAGCCCAGTGGTCGCCAACCAGTGGGCCAGGGACCACTGGTGGTCTGCGGGGAAAATTTGGTGGTCTGCAGAGAAATGTCCCCCCCCCCAAAGCAATTAATCCAGGCTGCGCGGGAACACAAGGCTGCACCGCTCACATGGCCCGCAGGAACACAAGGCTTATGTCGCTTGCATTGCGAACATGAGGTAGTGAGGGAAGGGGGGAGGGGGGCAAATTGCCCCACGCGCCCCACTTGCCTGGCCTGGGCACCGGGCTGCTTCTCTCCGCTTCTTCTGCTTTTGGCTGCACGCAAGGAAAGCAACAGAAGTCTTTCTTTCTCTCCCCCAAACTCCACCAGAAATGAGTCTTTGGGACCCTGCAAGGCCTCCTGCTCCAAGAGGCTGCAAAGGTTCCTTTCTGGCGGAGTTTGGGGGGAGAGAAAGAAAGATTTCTGCTGCTTCTGCTGCTTTCCTTGCATGAAGCCAAAAGTCTCTTCTCTCTCTCTCTCCCTCTCCTCCCTCTCTCTCTCTCTTCTTAAAAACCCCCAGCACCCACAAGTAATAAGTAAATGATAAATGATATCAGGAGGAGCCCAAAAGTAGAGATTTGGATACTAACAAAGTTGGGAGACATGCAGTAACCTGTGGCTCCTTCCAGACAGAGATCCTTCCTGAAGTCAGATCAGGACAAAGAGAAATGGGCGATCTAATAGGAATGAATCTTTCATATTTCACTACTAAGTCACGTGGGTCCCAGTTTCAGGGCCTGTGGTCGGGGGGTGAAGGCTTTGAATCCCGGTTAGTGTCGACCCAGAGAAATTCTTGCATCCCATCAACCCAGAATCTTCTCTGCTGTCCCTCTAAAGAACATCTACAATTCTCTGCCCCCGTCTTCAAAACTGCTCTTATTTATTTTGATTGCTTAAATAGCCCAAGCTCCAAATATGAATCTCCTTTAAGAGAGAGAGAGAGAGAGAGAGACAGAGAGACAGAGAGAGAGAGAGAGAGAGAGAGAGAAATCTTTCTCAACCAGTCAAGAGCTGCTATTGTTGTGAAGGTGTGCTAAACCTGGAGGACTATTGATTTTTGGCCATCACTTCTTTTGTGGTGCCAAACGGAGAGGCAGCGAGGCGAAGGGAGGTTGCCTAGGCCAGGGGTCTCCAACCTTGGCCACTTTAAGACTTGTGGACTGCTGGCTGAGGAATTCTGGGAGTTGAAGTCCACAAGTCTTAAAGTGGCCAAGGTTGGAGACCTCTGGCCTAGGAGACATGTCCTTCAAGGAGTCAAAAGGAAGCAGATCTCGTGGTAGCACAAAAATAACGCCTGTAATTCCAATTCTTAGTTTAAAACAAAAAACAAAAAACGGTTTCTTTTGGGGATGAAGAAGACCAAAGAAAATAATCATTTAGGTTGGGTTGGATTCAAACAGCGGTGATCACAAAGGAAGAGTTGAGGGTTGGAGAAAAAAAAATATTAGAGATTGGGCGCAAATTCCTATGGAGATTCTCAGTCCTCCAGGTTCTTGTTGTCCCAAAGATGCTATTTTTGTTTTTTTCAGGAGGCCACTGGGCTTCCTTGTTTTTTTCTTTGAAGACGTTTCGCTTCTCATCCAAGGAGTTTCTTCAGTTCTGACTGGATGGTGGTGGAACGGAAGGATTTGTATTCCTTGCAGGCAGCTGGTCATTTGCATCCTTTTGGGGAGTAGTTGAGGCCACTTGGAGGTTTATCCGTGCGCTCAGTTCTCCCAGAGGTGCTTTTTCAAGAGGCAACTGGACTTTCTGGTTTTTTTTGGTTTTTTTAAAGACATTTCACTTCTCATCCAAGAAGCTTCTTCAGCTCTGACTGGTGAGATGGTGGGGAATTGAAGGATTTATACTCTTTACAGACAGCTGCTCATTTCCATTCTTTTACTGAGTTGTTGAGGCCACCCGGAGGTTTACCTGTGTCCTCAGGGTCACCTGAGCAGTGCCAATGGGTGTGGAGCCTTCTTGGACCTGTTGAAGGACCATGTTGTAGACTGGAGATAGATGATGCGGAGCAGCTGCTAATAGTTTTCAACTGAGAGTCGTTGAGACCACTTGGAGGTTTATCCGTGCCTTCAGGGTTACCCGAATAGTGCAAATGGGGGTGGAACCATGTTTACAACACAGTCCATAACACACTCCTTTCGGCAGTTCCAAGAAGGTCCCACCTCCATTTGCACTATTCCGGTGACCCTGAGCGCACAGACAAACCTCCAAGTGGCCTCAACGACCCTCAGAAAGAGTGGTAATGACCAGAGGACTGCAAAGAACATAAATCCTTCCGTTCTCCACCATTCAGCCCGAACCGAAGAAGCTTCTTGGATGAGAAGTGAAACATCTTCAAGGGAAAAAACCAAAGTCCAGTTGCCTTTGGAAAAAGCACTTTGGGGACAACCGTGACCCGAATGACTTGAGAATCTCCACAGACCAGACAATAACCTCTCTCATGGATGAAGGCAGACATACATGTCCCAAGATAATCCTGTTGCGGGATCCAATTTGGAATCAGTCCCTGGGACCAGAGATTTTGTCTTCCAAGCCTTTGGATCCGTGCTGGAGCCCATCTTCAGGAAAATTCTCTCTAGCAGAGGGTGTGCTGTTCTTTGTGTGGTGTTTATCGGGCCCGTTGCATACGGCTGTTTAGATGTTGATTGGGGTGTGTTGACTTTTAAGACCTTGGCTCTCGACTTCTAAGCGCTTGATAGGCTGGTGGTGTAAATCAGTCCTCCTGTAGACCGACAAGGCTTCAATCACTTCCCCGGCTGTTTTTGAGCCTGCTTGTCCAACAATCTTAGTGTCAACTTGTAAAACATTCCTACGTGTCGGGATTCTGGCAGTTACCTCGATTTAAATCATGAGTCTCGAGCCAAACTTCCCAAAAACTTCCAAAGGATTTATTGGGAGTAAACATGGCCGGCACTGCCTGGGTGTAGCCGACTCTGAGGCACATCATTCATTGCCACCCTTGACCCTGATTTCCCCCCAACCTCTGGGTGTATCCTAATTCCTATTCTCCAATGGGACACCTCCATAGCCCAGAGTCATCAATCAGGCTCTCCAGTTAGAATTTTGTGTGGCAGAAACTTCAGTCATCTACTTCCTATCTTTGAAAACATTTATGGAATGCACTTTCGGTTTTGCAAGCTGCCGCACTGCTCCCCCTTCTCTTTCTGTTGGCAACTCTAAAAAAAACCAGAAAAATATTTTATGAGTTAACACTATGCCTGTTTCCAAGTTGCCATGAAAAAGAGGGGGGAAGGGCCTGAAGGAGCATAGGGCAAATAAAACCAGAAGCACATTCCAAGCTTATCTCCTAAAGATTGTAACTTAGGCAACCGGCTATTCTGCCCACAAAAATCCTTTATTGGAGAATGTGAATGATGACACCCAGCCCATGAACGTATTTAATTGGAGAAGCTGAATTATGATATACCCAGAGGGGGTGGGTGGGGGGAAACCAGGGTCAAGGGTGACAGTGAATTACGTGTCTCAGAGTCAGCTTCATACTGGTCATGCCGGCACGTTGCTCCTAATAAATCTTTTGAAGTTTCTTGAAGCTTGGCTCGAGGCTTAGGATTTAATTAAATCGCCGGAATCCTGACACTTCGTAGCTGAAGACGTGCTCCAGCCTGAGTCAGAAAGCTCGGAAGACAAAACCTCTGGTCCCAGTGACCGACCCAGATTGGATCCTGCAAGACAATGATAGGTTATAAGGAGTGGTCATGTCATGCCCCTGTCGGGAATCTGATTTGGAGGGAGAAGCCGAACAGCTGACAGGGAATGGGAGTGTGGCTCCGTTGGCTGTGGAAGAAACTGGGGAAGGGCACATTCCAGGTGGGCAGAGTAGGGGAGAGGTAGAACAAGGGAGAGGGGGTTCAGAGGAAGACCCAGGCCCATCCCCTTCTTCATCCCAGGGCACACAGGGAGGAACGGAGAAGGGAGCAATGTGGGTTGCATGGCTTACAGGGGAGGAAAGGGCCCTGATTCCCTTCATTAGCTGCAGCTGGGAACACAGGGTTTAAAAAGGGAAGCTGCGCACAGCAAGTTGTTGGGAGCAAACATGAAGTTATCTTGTATCGTGGCTTATCTGTGTTCCTGCCCTCTTCCCAACTGTGTGAGTTTTGTCGTGCTTTCAAGTCTGAAATTCCTTCTCCTGCCCTGTCAAGTTAATTGCTGCAGTTTGGTTTGTGTGGATTTTTAGTTACAGTTTGTGTGTACCTTGTTTTGTACTGAATTTCCTCCACTTAAAGGCTGTTCCTGGGAGAGTTTTTTTCTCCAGCCGAAGGTAACCTGGATATTGGGGGCAAAGTTGAAGATAATAAAGGGATTCTTCTTGGTTATTTGACTGTGTTGCCTTTGTGCCACGCCTCTTTGGGTCATCCCAGGTCACTTCTCTAGTTTTACGCTGCACTGAAAACCAACCTTGTGAAGGTTGGCCTTCTTGGAGGTTCGTTCGACCGGCACTGAAGCTCCTCCTCCATTGTCCTGTTGCTTTGGCCATTCATGGTCATCTTCTCTCTCCTAGATGACCATTCCAGGGTTCACCTGACACCCATTGAAGGGGTTCCAGACTCGGATTATATCAATGCCTCATTCATTAATGTGAGTATCTGCTAAAGGGCAGGAATATTCCCCAGATACAGGTAGTCCTCGACTTACAGCAGTTCATTTAGTGACCGGAGTCACAATGGCACTGAAAAAAGAGAGACTTACGACCATTTTTCACACGTACGACCATTGCAGCATCCTCCGTGGTAACATGATCAAAATCCAGAGACTTGGCAACTGACTCGTTATTTATGACGGTTGCCATGATCCCCTTTAGCGACCTTCTGACGAGCAGTGGGGAAGCCAGATTCACTTTAACGACCGGGTTACTAACTTAACAACTGCAACGATTCACTTAACAACTGTTAAGGTCATAAAACGGGAGGGGGCAAAATTCACTCGATCAATGTGTCACTGAGCAACGGAAATGTTGGCCTCAGTTGTGGTCGTAACTTGAGGACTACCTGCAGTCTGGGAGAGTTAGGTATTTAGGAAGGAAGAAAAATAGCTGTTGATTCTTGTTGCTGTCTTCATCTGTTCTAACCCGTAGATCCAGATTATCCACAGATAAATCTTATTTTTCCTGGCTGGTACAATAGTTTGTATGTATTGTGGTTCACCGGCAGCTGGTGCAGCCGGCATCGGAGTCGGGCAGTGAGGAAGAAAGGGGACCACTCAGGGAGTCTGGAGAGGACTTGGATGAGGGTTCTGCGTCCGATGCAGGGATGGGACCGGGGCCATCTGGGAGTGGGGTGCTGCCTGCAGAGCCTCTGGAGTCTGGTAGCAGTGAGGCAGAGGACCCAGGGGAGCCTATTCCCAGTGCATGTATGCGCAGAGCTGCTAGAAGGCGAGAGCCAGCTGAAGCAGAAGGGGCGACTCGGGAGTAAGGCTGGGAGGTGATTGCCCCTCCCCTAAGGGATAAAAGTCAGGCCAAGATGACGAAACCTTTGCAGGAAGCAAAGTCGTTCTATAGATTCCAAGCCCTCCTTGAAGCTCTTTTGTACTCTGGTTGGTTTTTTTTCTGGTATTTCGGTTGGTTTCTGTTACCATTAATTGGAGACTTCTGTTTTTGGCAGCACTCCACAGCACTGAAAGCTGTGTGCTTATTTTGGGGAACTGTCTAGGATTAGTTCTGGCTGGGGAATGAAAGCAATTCCCAGCATTGCAATTAAAATAGGTTTTGCTTTTAAAACTAAGTTTGGGTTTAATTCCATTTGACGAAGCCTGGGTCAGAACAGCGTGCAGTGACGATATTTGTAAAGTAAGGAATTAACCCCGTGAGAGAAAATGCCGAAATTTTGGGTCTTTGACCAACGCCAGAGATAAAAACCATTGCTTTTTTTTTTTTTTTTCATTCCTGTCTCCCTTCCGTTCTTGCAGGGGTATCAGGAGAAGAACCGGTTCATCGCTGCACAAGGTAAATAATATGTATTTCCTTTGAATTCCTGCACTGCTAGAAATATACATTCGACATAGCAACGTGTATTTTTGAGCTGGCCTTTTGCTGCAGTAGCTCCTAATCGGAAGCGGGCGGAGAAGGGCTTAGAGAAATATGGCTTTATTTCTTTGTGATTTTGGTGGTGGTGTTGGGGGAAACGCAAAGCTAACCCACTTCCTGCACCTCCCTGAAAGTTTTGCATTTTGAGTGGGGCAGCTTTGGTATCAGACCAACATTTATTTTGCATTCTGAACTGAAAGAGGAAATGAAATGGTGGTTCTGTTTAACACCGTGGATGTTGGAAAACCTCAAACAGCAATTGTGTTCCCTCCGCTGAGAAGAGAAGACCATTTTTAAATTCAATTTTAGTCCCTAAATTACAGGAAGTCCTTGACGCACAACCTCCATTGGGCCCAACATTTCTGTTGCTAAGCAAGACCGTCGCGAAGTGAATTTTGCCCCATTTTACAATCTTTCTTTGCCACGGTGGTTAAGTGAATTGTTCTAATTATTCTGTCGGTAAGACGGTCGCTAAGTAAGTCTGACTTCCCCATTGGCTTGGCTTGTCAGAAGGTCACAAAATGAGATCACCTGACCACGGGACATTGCAACTGTCATAAGTACATGCCAGTTGCCAAGCGTTTGAATTTGATTCATGTAACTATGGGGATGTTGCAATGGTCATAAGTGTGAAAAATTAAGTCACTTTTTTCAGTGCCATTGTAACTTTTGGTCACAAAATGAACTGTCGTAAGATAAGGATTACCTGTACATAAAATCCACCGCAGACGTTCAGGCAGCAGTTTGAATCTTGAGCTTATATGTTCTTCCTTTGCATAAACCCACGCTTCATTTTTGCTACCTGTTTGTTTTAAATACAGGTATTCATTTAGTGACTTTTCAGAGTTACAATCACAGTAAAAAAAAATGACTTATATCCAGTCCTCACATTTGCAATTGTCAATGCCATGGTGACCAGATCAAAATTTGGTGTTCTTACCTCGGCTTCCCCCAAAAGCACTAAGCAGGCTCTTTGTCCCGGCAAAACCCCTTTTATTAAACAAAGGTGAATTTCTTGCATTCACATTCATAGAATAGAATAGAATTCTTTTCATTGGCCAAGGGTGATTGGACACACAAGGAATTTGTCTTTGGTGCAAATGCTCTCAGTGTCCATAAAAGAAAAGATACCTTTGTCAAGAGTCAAGAATCACAAGGTACAACACTTAATAATAGTCATAGTCAATAAGCAATCCAATCATACTAGGAAACAGTCCATATTCAGCCAAAGGCCTGGCCAACTGTCTTTCAGGGGTGTAATTAGGAGCACAGACCTTATCTAGCTTGGAGAGCTGCCAAGTAACTATTTCCAAACGCAGTGCTGACAAGGAAGGGCTCGGTAAAGAGTCTGTGAGATGCACAGGCAGATCTTCACACGGCTGCAACGGACGAATTGTTTCTCCTCCTCATTTGCTCCTCTTTTAATCCCTATGGGAGGGGCCATTCAGCATCCACCTGTGGCCTTACTCCCGATTCGACCCTTGTTCCTTAGCTGTTCCCTTCTTCTGGCAGCTCTGCACATGCTCCCATCAGGAACAGGCTCCAGTTGTTTTTCTGCCCCACTGATCTCCGACTCCAAAGGCAGCCGATAACCGTCAGATGGCCCTGGCCCCCATCAGACTCTAGGACTGGCCCATGTTCCTCCCCAACCTCCTCACTGTCCGACTCTGCTGCCAGCTCTGCCAGACGCCTGCAGGCCACAACATTTGGGAGCTTGGCAACCGACATCTCTCTATGAGGATTGGAGCATTCTGGCATCACTTGATCATCATTTGTTACCGTCCCAGCTGGCTTCTGATGAGCAGACTCAATGGAGGGAGCCAGATTCACTTAATGACTACACAATTCACTTTAACAACTGTGGCAAAAAGGGCCCTAAAATCAGATGTGACTCACTTAACAACCATCTTGCTTATCAAGAGAAATTCTGGTCCCAGTTTTGGTCGTATGTCAAAGACTGACCTGTAGGAAGGAAGAGGAGGAGTCAGGCCTGTAAACGTGGAAAAAGCGATGGTGGTTTGCGGTGGCTATATCTGGGCTGAAAGTTTAGATGGCCCACGTGGGTCAAAGCGGTTCAGCTCACCTTGTTCCTCCTGGCTAATGGATTTTTCTCTGGTGATGCTTTTCCCCTCTGGCGTCTCGGCAGGGCCCAAAGAAGAAACGGTGAACGACTTCTGGAGAATGATTTGGGAGCAAAACACGGCCACAATTGTCATGGTGACCAATCTGAAGGAGAGGAAAGAGGTAAGGCTCTAGTCACCGCCTTGGCTAGGTGACTCTGGACCAAGCCCCAGGAGACGGGGAGTTCTAGTCCCACCTTAGCCCTGAAAGCTGGCTGGGTGACTTTGGGCCAATCACCAGGAGACGGTGAGTTCTAGTCCCACCTTAGGCATGAAAGCCAGTTGGGTGACTTTGGGCCAATCACCAGGAGACAGTGAGTTCTAGTCCCACCTTAGGCATGAAAGCCAGTTGGGTGACTTTGGGCCAATCACCAGGAGACGGGGAGTTCTAGTCCCTCCTTAGGCATGAAAGCCGGCTGGGTGACTTTGGGCCAATCACCAGGAGACGGTGAGTTCTAGTCCCGCCTTAGGCATGAAAGCCGGCTGGGTGACTTTGGGCCAATCACCAGGAGACGGTGAGTTCTAGTCCCACCTTAGGCATGAAAGCCAACTAGGCATCTTTGAGGCCATTCCCTCTCTCTCTCAGCCCAACCTGCCTCACCAGGGTGTTATTGTGAGGAAACTTGGAGAAGGAAGAAGTGTTTGATATGTTCACTGCCTTGAGTTGTTTATAAAAAAAAAAAAAACAGGAAAGGGGGATATAAATAATAAATAAATAAACAAAATATTTATTTTTGTGTTCCCAGTTCAGTTTTCTTTTAGTGAGGGTGCCTTGTAGGAAAATCTCCCCAACTCTTTGGTGCCACCTTCACCTCTTCGTGACTATATACAGCCACAATCACTAATTCAGTGCAATCCCGGCGTTTTTACCCTCAGACCGTGTGACTTGGCAGAAAGTTGACGGCAAAACTCTTGTGAAATTTGCCAGATATTTGGGCTGCTAAGGAGAGAGGGAATGTTTCACTTTATTTCAACGTATTGTCCACCCTCCAACAGCTTGCCTTGTTGGATCACTGAGTGGTCTCTTTTCTCTTGGCGTTCCACTCCCTGGAGAGTGAGGGCACGTCCACAGTGAGGCTGCCCAGCCAAATTTGGAAACGCTTTTAACCTTGCAACAGATGTTGACCTCCACTGGGGGAAAAACTGACCCTGTGGAGATCGTGGTTAAGGTCATCTCCTCTTCTGCCCCTGCATCTTGGTCTGTTTTGTGGTCTCTCCTCAGTGTAAATGTGCCCAGTATTGGCCAGATCAGGGCTGTTGGACGTATGGGAATATCCGGGTCTCTGTGGAAGATGTCACCATCCTTGTTGACTACACAGTGAGGAAATTCTGCATTCAACAGGTAAGGCCTCACCGGTGTTCAACTTGCTTGGCCTTGTGAGTAGTGGGTAATTTACCACCCAAAGGGCTGCTTGCTTGATTGCTGGTTTATTAGTTAGGTTAAGTGGACGTGTAAAGTGCTGCGAAAATTCATATATAATGCTTGCAGTCCTAGCCAGACCAGAACCAGGGAGAGAAGAGGAAGGAAGGAAGAGAGAACAAGAAAAGGCGAGAGAAAATGGAGGA